GTATCGTTGCTCCTCGATGCATCTCTCATCATCTAACCAGTCGTCTCGTTGATCAATACACGATCAGGTAATAGTAAAACGCCCATTCTCCATGGATCACCATCGCAATCACGGTCTCCACGGCACGTGGAGACGAGCACGAAGGGTCGTTCGATTTGTCTGTCGAGCTTTCTAAAACTTCCTCTGTATCGTTGATAGCCGGACCTCTGTGTTAACCCCTTGCTTTACAAATTTTCTTCAAGATTCCATCGGTGAAAATGTCCAACGATCGTTAATTCGTATAAATTGTCATTGCACAAATTCTGTCACGAGTATGTGATTTAACGTTACAAGGTAAGGGGTTAACTTTTTAACTCGAGGATTACCTTTGCCGCTGTAAAAATTGGCGTTCGCGTTTTAAACTTTCGAAATTTGCTTCTAGTTCGCTTGTGACGAAGAGGAGTGACGCGAAAAAGCAGTTATTTAAAATCACACAAAATTTCGAAAATGTCGACAGATGTGGAAAAAAAGTAGTAGAATAATTTTTGCAACGAGTTCAGATATTTTCTTTTGATAACGTGTAACGAAGTTCACAGGCAAATGGAGCGTCACCCTTCGCCATCCGCCATAATCATAAGGGTACACCATTAACACTTAAGCTAGAGCTAAGTTAGCGATAAGTCAGCAACGGATGGCGGTCCCCAATTCCGCTGAACTCGTTCGACACCTTTTTCTTCTCCTCTCTCCGTCGATTGAACGAAGTAACGAGCCACCTCCCTTCGATAAATCGCGGGCCACGGTCGTTAATAATGTTGTGCAGCGTTTAACGACGGGGGCCGCGTATAAATTCCTACGTGCCCGGCATACGGAGCCGCGGAAACGATTCGACGAATGTCGAAAGCTGATCACGTTCCAGCATGATGAGCGGAAACTTTCTTCCCTGTTGATTGAACGATCAAAAATTAAATGAAATCGCCGTGTAACAATGAAACGTGTGCGCTCGTTGCGCTGATGTTTCTTTAATACGCAACCCTTTCGATACGATTAATCACAATCAGAAAACTCCGTTAACTTCACTTTCGAAACTGCAAGGAAATTCTTCTCAACAGTTTTTTAAGAATCAAATTTTTTTCCGGAGGAACGAGAACGAGAGAGATTTGATGAATTACGTAGCGAAAGGGTTGAAGAAGAAGAGAAGGAGGAGGAGGAGGAGGAGTGGAAGAGGAAGGCGGAGTTGGGAGGCCTTCGTGGTCAGCGAAGCATTATTAAATGTGGTGCCCCAATATTCTAGCTTTCTGAGGAGGTAAGGATATTCTTCACCCGACAAAGAAGCACTTCCAAGCCACCACCTATCCTTCGTTTCCATCTACGTGATTACCGTATTATGTAACGGAGTGTTTCGATGTTCCGTAGTAACACTTTCTCTTACACACATACACACACATACACACACACACTCTCTCTCTCTCTCTATCTGTCTATCTCTCTCTCTTTTTTTTCTTCTGTTCTGTCTATTTCTGTCTAACTGCCTGCCTATCTCTGTCCGGGGTGGCCAGTAAGTTTCCGGACGACTCGAAACTTTTTTATAACACGGCCGAGTGCTCGGCAAATTCCAGTTGGAATTTCACGATAATTTTGCGTAACTACGTTTCCCAGGCTATCCTCTCGCTGACTTGGAAATTAGTTTCCTGATTGACATCGAATGACTTCCGGTTTATCTTAATCCGCCCCTCGGAGATTTTTCCGCAAATAGAACGCCACCCACCGAGTTTTCTCTCTGTGGATCTTTCGAGTTTCAGCTTTTATCCACCGGTAATTTGCCAATCATACTTCCTGTGTTATAATTTGAAAAATTTCTTTCCGAAGGAAATCGTGTTCGTTTCAACTCCTTCAAGTGACTATCGCGAGTTTCATTTAGTAATAGGAAAATAACGCGTTTCGACTTGGAACTTTTTCACTTCGTCAATTCTGTTCTTTAGGCTGTTAAACGCATCGTAGAGGAGGATTTGAAAAATTCTCCATTGTAATTTCGCTTAATGAACGGAGTTTAAAAGTGAGAACAGTTCGAATTTGTTCAGGGACAGACAAGCCGCCCCGGGACTGCCCCTTTCTTTCTCTCTTTCTGTCTCTCTCTTTATTTCTGTCTCTTTCTTTCTCTCTCTCTCTCTCTCTCTCTCTCTCTGTCTCTCTCTCTGTCCCTTTCTCTGGTGTGAGTCGTTGATCAGACTGTCCGCAAATGGTTCACGTAAACGATCCGCGTCGTCGTTCCACGCGACGACGAGACGTGACGAGACGAGGCGGGGAAATGACTCATTATCCGAGGCTTTTCCCCGTGCGTACATACGTGCGTGTGTGTGCAGCCGAAAACGACGATCGTAGATAGAGTGACTTCACAAAAAAATGTAGATGATCTTGCGTCGCCTATAGCGGCCCGCGGCCGTTGTGTAATACAAGAGACACCGAGGAACCCGAGACGATGTGACGCCGATCGAGGCCGTCACCTCTAACCGTAGACCTGTTGTTTTTTTTTTTTTTCTCCACCACTTGGCACGATACTATAGAACGCTGGAGAGAGGGGGGATCGACGATCGATCATGATCCATCGATGAATTTCTCTCGTTAATTGTATCGATGGGTCTTGATCAAATCGACGATCCCCGGTGCTTTGTCTTTGAGCTGAGATATATACATGAACACGTCGTCTGGTTTGGAAGAGTAACCTCTGATCGAAGTAATTTCAAATTGAACGTTTCGACGATCTTGTTAGATACATTCATCTTCGTGGAACTTTTTTTTTCTAGGAAATAATAAGGTTCACAACATAGCTGCATGAGGTGATAGAGTTCGTTGTATATTTCTAGAAAAGAAACTTTTAGGAAGAGCAGCAAGTCAATTTTTACAGAGAGTACAGATTTGTTTGTTGATTTTTATAGAAAAGCTTTAACGACGCTTGACAAATTCTTCGTTTCTCCTTTTTTTTTTTTTTTGGTTTTTTCAAGTATTCGAGGGAAAAGAGTGTCTTTTTTTCTTTTACCTCGATTAAAGGTCTCGACGCAACCAGATCGGAAACAGTGATATCTCCTCCACACTGCGTACTCTGCTAGTTGATTAGTTAGAAAACATTTAGCTGTGTTGATTCTGCTTGCGATCCCGCGGCGAGGAGCGTCTCCTCGCCAAAGGATCCTCACGCGGCCTGCCGACACCAGAGTAGATCAGACGAGCGTAGTAGGTACGTACACGAAAATAAAGAGAGAGACACAATATACATAATACGTTCCAGTCTCGATTCTCCAATTGTCCAATCCGCAAATTATCATCCTTAAATCTCTCTCTATATATTCTCTCTCAATCACGTCTCTCCCCACGACATTCGTTACGACACGTATAAAGTATATATCTCTCGTATACACGCAGGATACACTTTGTTTGTAACTTTGTATCGTTGGTTTCGATATCGCTGCATGCTCAGTATGACGAGGCCCTGGCCGAGTACGACAACGCCTCGCCAGACTATTTATTACCACTATTCTTATTGTTACTATTAATGTTCCTCCGTTGAAAAAAAGAAGAAAATATGAAAAATACAGGATGAGCGCCACGTCAGTTCTACTTTCATCCTCTTTGACTTTGCATTCGTGAGAAAAATTCAGTATGAATTCGCACGGTGAAAATTCAACGCGCGCTGCGAAAAGTAGCACGTTTCATGTATCTTACGGGGAACAGCACGTGTCAGTTTGCCACGTAGAGAAGCACATTTCATCGTTTCATCTGTAAGGATATTAGCACGTTTGCTCTTCCACCATGAAAACTGATATATTGTACTGTTTCGCGACGAAGAATAGCACATGTGGGATTTTGCGGCGGAAACCATCACGTTTCGGCGTGTGATCAGTGAAATAATCATATTTCTTCCGAAAGGAATGCAGGTGATTGTCAATTTAATATAGGAAACAGCCTTTAGATAAATTACATAGTTTTATTTTTAAGGAAATACAGAGGAAAAACAGGTGCATGGTTTTAAATTGAAATTTTAAAACCGGTCATTTGACCGGGCCATGGTACGGTTAGTGTTAAAAATAAAAATATGTAATTTTTCTTTTTTTATTATCTAAAGGCTGTTTCCTATATTAAATTGACAATCGCCTGCATTCCTTTCGGAAGAAAGATGATTATTTCGTAACCGGTCATTTGCCCGGATAAGTGTCGGTACGGTTAGTGTTAATAAATAACGACTACATCTAATCGTTAAAACGAAAAAATATGAAAATGTTTCTCACTCTCGTCTCCGATGCACCCAAGAAGCGAACGAACCGAGGAGAGAAAACAGTCGGTAATTCCCAGAACACCTGTCTCCCTCGATAACTGTCGCGACGCGTCAATTAAGCGGGGAATACTGTATATTACGACCAAATCAGAACAAAATTCTAATTAGATCAGATTCGATCATGTCTGACTTACATGATCCAAAAAAAATCAAATCTTATCCGTATACATCCTTTTTTTATAGCCAACCATTCAAATGTGCTACAGTTCGCGACGAAAAACGAAACGTGATACTTTTCGTGACGGCGAGGACAAACGTGCGGTTTTTCCGTTCGACAAATGAAACGTTCTACTTCTCGTAACGCAGGTCGAATTAACAAAAGATGATAAATCGGACGATGCAAAGTGTAGAAATTCGGAGGAAATCGTATGGAGATTGAAACAATCGAAGCCCAGTCGGACCAATAACCTGGCCAGTCTGGACGAACAATTTTGGCAAAGCGATTAGAGCGAATGGAAAAGTTGGCGGAATGGAACGGAAGGTGAAACGGCTGACCCGTTTCACAGCCGATTTACCTCCGAATTGTGTACCGGTTCGAATGGAAAGAGGAAGTTGGCTGGAGATCGTGGTCGTACTCGGTCAACGACGGAGAGACGACAGAGAACCAGGCGCCTCCGTCGCTCGTTGTTTCGTCGTTCAGCAACCTATAGAGGAGCTCACGGACTGATCCTCTCGTGGACGACGACTCTTTTCGCAGCTGGACGAGCTACGGACTGAGGTGCAACGCAGGGACCAGGAGCTGCTCGCGATGTCCGCGAAGATGAAGACACTCGAGGAGCAGCACCAGGATTATCAGCGGCACATCACCGTGTTGAAGGAGTCGCTCTGCGCCAAGGAGGAACACTACAACATGCTGCAGGCTGACGTAAGTCTCTTCTTCTAAAAATTAAAGGGCCTTTCGCTTTTAAACAGTCGAAAAGTAGCTGTTTTTGGGAAAATTTTTGCAAGAAAAACTGTCGGAGATATTGAAATGAAACTTGCAGCGATTATTATTCGCATCTTGCACTGTGCGTTTAATTTTTTTGGTTGTAAAATACAGTACAGCTTTTGTGTGACGTGTACCGGAAGTAACGCTTGCCTGGGGAAAATGGTTTTTCAGTGTACAAAATTTCTCGGCTTTGGCACATTTGAAACAAAAATGCCGTGAGGGATCGATTGTGTAATAGTTGATGTCGAACATCATCCACTACGGTTGAAAAATACCGAAGAATAACAAAATGGTGGCACGTCAAAGTCGTGCTTCGTGCTTTTGCCCAAAAATCGTTACCTCTGGAGCTTTTAAAAAATAGTAACTTTTGGAATTTTAGAATGATGTACTTTTTATGTGTGTACTGAAGATGTGTAGAAAATTTCAGAAATATCCGTTGGATAGTTTCCGAGAAATCTTGCAGGTATACCTATATTTTCGAAGGTTAAATGTAACCGAAAATGTAAAAAGCGATAAATGGCAAAATTCATCATTTTTTAAGCGAAAGGCCCTTAAAGGGTTAATTAACAATTCTAGTATGCATAACTTATAACAGGGAGCCGCGTGCAATTTGCAAAAATCAATAACTGTTTGTAGCAGGGTTCTGAATTAAAGTGCGAATAAAAATGAAAAATATTGCTTTATAGTATCATATTTTTTAACCACTTGTTTGAAATTGAACGAAATTTGCATGTTACAAATCCAAATATGTAGAAAAAATTTATAAACGCAGGAATATTAAAATGCAGACAATTTTGAAAATTCATCAAATATATATATATTTTTTAAATAATAAAGCAATT